AGCCAAGCCAACTAACGACAAATACACACACGGACCTTCAGTCGTGCACCGACGACACTCAATTTCCTCAGCCGCGAAAGTCCTTCTAAACCGCGGACATCCTCCAGGAAGTTGTAGTTCAGATTCAGGGCCCGGACATTGGGAACAAGACTGGCGATTCCCGTGGGCAGTGACCGCAGCCGGCAGTTGGCCAATTCAAGATAGACAAGATTGTAGCAGGCGCAGCTGAAAAAGTGGGACGACAGGACGTTCCCTGTCCTTGTAATCAGCGACTCGGAGCATATAAAAAAAGCCACGCGCACCGCTCAGATATAACCGTTTAGCATCCCGAAACACTCCGAGATTTAATTTTAAGGCCCCTGTTTTGCTCTGGTTCCGGAGACTGAGGTTTTCCAAATGGTTCAAGCCGCCAGTTTCAACAGCCTTGCCAGCAGCCCGGCCCACAGTTCCGGTCTGCGATGCAATGCCACTGTCCAGTCCGTCGAGAGCATTTCCATCGATATAAAGGGTCCGCACTCCAGGCCATCTATTGACCTTCAGCCCCTCCAGCTTATTTCCGCTTGCTCGGACAACTCGCACTCGAGTCATCAGCCCCCCGGCATCGAGCTCCCCTTTGAGCCGGTTGTCGTCGACATTGAGGACGACCAGTGACGACAACGCATGCAAGGCTCCCAACGTCGTGATCTGGTTGTCCGACAAGTCGAGGACCTCCAGCCGCGTCCAATTTATGCGCGAAAAGTTGAGCTCGCCGGCGATGCGATTCCCCGCCAACGACAACTTGACCAACCCATCCAGATTCTGGAGTCCGTCGACGTCCGAGATGGTATTTCCGTCGGCCCGGAGCTCTCTGAGATGTCGCAAACACGAAAGTTCTGCAGACCGTGGTAAGCATTCAGGCACTGAAAGAAATGTCATCCGTACGTCTCAGCGAGTCGACCTCGTTTCTGCTGATGTCCAGATTCTCCAAGTTGAGCAGGTGGCTGTACGATGTCAAACCTGTCAATCTGGGTCCGAATTAGCGAATTGGAACTGGGCGGCATTTAGGAAAGAAAGAAAGAGACGGAGACGGAGACGGATGAGAGTTAATGTCGCGTGCTGTCAAGAGCCCGGCCATTATATCATGCGCGGCCCACGGAGACTAATATTCGACAGACAGCGGCCACCGACCTGTTTGACGCGACAGAAAGTGTCCGCACCGCACTTGGCACACCGCTGAGCCAGGCCAGTTGATTTGAGTTCCTATTTGGGAATCAGGGGTCTTGCGCGCGCGAGTCTTTCCCGTCGGGTGGACTCACAGGTTGAGTGCATCCAGAGCGGGCAAGAACTCCTTCAATCGAGCAACGCTTTCAAGCCTCTTGCCAGATAGCTCGACCGTCGCCAGGGTCTCCCAATGAGGCTCGAACGGCTCCACATCGGTCAAGACCTGGACCAGCTGGTCGTGCGCAACTCCGAACGAGCACTCAGTCAGGAAGGTTCCATTGTCCCGCGTCACATGTGACCGCGAAAAGACGCGTCGGGAAGAAGTGGAACCGGCCAGCGAGGGAGAAGCCGGCTCGTGTGTCGGTGCGTCCGATTCCAGTTCTGCGAACATGTCAGTGAATTGTAATACCATTACGTGAGCCCAAAGATGTTCAGAACTTAAACTCACCCGAAGAGTCACTTCTCGCTGCCAACATCTCTGCGATCCGCTTGGACCTTGCCGAGGGTTGAGGCTCGGCACTGCTCAACCCCACGATAGGCCCTTCCCGCTTTCCATCCGAGAAGCTGACTGACCGGCGGTGGGTTCGCTTCGGGGTGCGGAACTTGGATCGCGCTGCATCCTTCATAGCGGACGAAGGTGTTGCTGTCGCTGGCGTCTTCTTCAATGCCGATACGGGTGGCAAGACCCTGGGCGGAATCGGTGTTTCGAAAGTCGTCACAACAATAGGCGGCGGCGCGAAAGCCTCAGTCAGCGATTCGTCCACAGGAACGTGATGTGGTGCCAGCACCGTGTCGTTGTCCGCCTCCAATTCCGAGTCTGTGTCGTCCAGGTCTGGAGGGACCACATGTTCCAACGAGCCCGACCCGGTGATCACCGCATCATTCTCCGCCTCAGAATCAGTGGTCTCCTCGAACTCCTCCGTCTCGACACCAGTCATGACAGAGACAATTCGGCCCGAAGCGTCCGTCGAGAAACTTGTGAGAGCCATCTCCTCGTCGTCTGTGGGCTCCTCTTCAACTCGAGCGAGAAGCGAGTCGTCCCGGAGACTCTCGATGTCCCCGAATGGGTCTTCACTGACTTGGTCTATCTCACCGCCCACTTCAGCTTGCACGTTCTTGACCCATCTCATCATCACCTTGTCGAACAACATGTCACCCATCCGATCAGGGAGAACGGGCACGTCTTGTGGGGCAATGGTTCGCAGATGCGCTGGCCCTGGATGCTTGACGTAAGAGGGAACGCTGGCTGTAGTCAATGTCGTTCCCGACGCTGTACTGGACGACACATATCGCTTGAGATCGTCGTTCGTGGTTGTGCTCGGGCGAGCAGGGATGAGTAATGCGGGATTCGCGATGATGTTCACACCGTGGGGTGGCACGAATGCAGAGGTAGGATGGTTCTTGGCAATGTCCAGTCGCGAGAACTCGCTGGTCACTTCGTCCAGCGGGGGCCCTGATATTCGCGCCTTCCGGGGACTGCGCCTCGGAGAAGTGTTAGAATGCGCCTTTCGATGACGCGTGCTTTCTCGTAGATTCTCCTTATCAACTGGTGCAGGTGTCCATACGGATGTTGCACTATCCCCTGAAAACACTCGTTTCGTGCCCTTCACGTCACTTTTGATCTGTGCCATCAGAGCCGCTGCCTGCTGTCGATACGTAGAAGATGAATAGGGTGCACTCGATGTGGATTTGTATGTCGACGTCTGGTCCTCAGATAATGCCGGAACATTCAAAAGATCTGGGATGTTCAAAAAGGAGTCATGAGACGGACAGAGAACACACCTGGTGGTTGATCGCCATCATTCGCTGGACTAGACTCTCGCCCAGAAACAACGGTGGATATGGTCGAGAAATCGCGAGCTTGTTTGATCTTCTCCATCAGAGACTGGGATTCGCCAACATAGGCTTTACCGTAAATCTTTGGGCGAGCGATCGTCGCCCTAGCTCCGTCTCCCTCTCCGTAATCACTGAATGGGCTGAGCTTCACTCGTTTTGTACTCCGCAAATCCGAGAAGCTAGCCTCAGAAACGGGCGAGAGACGTCGTTCTGAGCGTGTTCCAGTCGTCGTTCCAGACGGCGTGTTCACAGCGATCGAGTCGGCCAGAGCGGAGAGATGGTCGCGCGTGAACGTGTCATACTGGAACTGGAACAGCCGTAGGCGGGGGTCCGTTAATGGCGCGATCGCGTTGGACGCTGGGACCGCTGGGACGGGCGTGCTCTGAGCTTGCGGTGAAGATAGTTTGGATCGGGGAACGGGGGTGGGGGCAAGAGAGCTGGATTTGGGCGCGGCAAACGTGAACTTGCAGTCCATGTTGGCCTTCCGTCCGTGAAACGCGACCATGTCCGGCAGATCTGTCTCCAGGATTTCATCGCTGGGTGTGGATGTTACAGTTGCGGGTGGCACTGGTGTCGAAGCGATAGGTGGTGTTGGGGGCTCAAACATTCGCTCGAGAGGCAGTGGACTGAAAAAGTCCTTCATGATCCCGGCCCGCCCTCGGCCTGGAGTCTTAGGAAGCATAGGAACCTTGGGCACATCTTCGCGAACGAGGAATGTGCCAACAGCATGGAAAGGAGGGGACTGAGAATTGTCGTTGTCGTTTTCGATGTCATTAGTCTGTATGCTGCTGGGTAGTGGCGCTGTGAGGGAGATGGACCTAGTTCCGTAGGTCAAGTTATGGGCGTCGTCGTCGTCGCTTAGTTCGTCCTCTGGGCTACTGTCCGGCCACTCATCCTCCAATTCCTGAGTCTGCCATCCCGGAACAGCCTTCTGTTCTTCCGTCATTCCCAGCACTTCGGAGATTCGGGCGACGGTTGTTCAGTAAGTAACGCAGCGAGAGGTTAATGTTGAGAAGTGGTTGATTGGACACGTGATTGCATCACGATCATGTGGCGGTACTCTCCTATGATCCGTTTCGTCTCTCTATATGGTCAACGAAGGTACGTCGCGCTCAAGGGATAACGAGTTGTTTCCTTCCACTGATGACCCGCACCGCATCCTTCCGCGTGTCGTGTTCGCCGCAATCATATTCGCAGTCATGTGTAAAGCACGTGATGAAGACTGTCAAATCTTATCTTCTTTCGTTTCTTTATCGACCCCTCACCACCTACTGGTGATCCCCTTTCGTGTTCAATCAAGGCAACCGCAAGCCCTGGTCCAATCAAACAGAAACGAAAATCACACCAATGAATTTCTGAACTAGCCTTTTGATAGTCATCTCTTGCATAGCCCACCCAAACGATCGAGGCTATCTTTGGGACCACTCACATTGGGGGGTCGTTTCACAGTTCGATACTCGAGTTCGTTTCACAGCCACCGGAATAAGGGTATGGATCTCCCCGTGAGTTCCAAAGACAGCTCACAGAGAGAAGTTGTCCGAGTGCTGATCTTTCCCTGTGGCAAACTCGATTTGCACACTCTCGCTGGATACGCCCAATCTCTTATTGATAGCGCCGCTGCATCATCTCACACTGTGCTCATGGTAGCCATCGAGCCAAAACGCGAACCGCGGACCGACAGTGCACACTATTCGGATGAAGCTGGTTTTGGTCCTGCAGATGCGTTTAGCCCCTCGCACTCCGACCCATCTATGGTTGCCGTTTCTCGCAATCGCCGGAGGCTCTGGACCTTACGTGGGGCGTCCGGACTGAGCTTCATTCGTAGCATTCAGGCACATCCTCCACCCCCTGTGCTCATCTATCTGATCCCAAGCCAGTCACGGTATTCGCTCGTCTATTCGTCTGTCCCCAAGGCTTTGCTGTGGATCAGCTTCGGAGATGTCAGCGCCAGCGGATTCACGCGGATCTGTTGTTCTTAACTGCCCTCTGTGACATCTTCGATGACCTAAATGGCCGAGCGCGCGTAGGTTCTCTTTCTCATGGTCTTTGACCACAGTCCATTTCGCGATCAGCATCAGTCCGTCAGCACATGCAGATGCATTGTTTACAGTCCGGAGGCGATGCCGAGTCCATGAACGAGAGGCACGAAGCACTCTTCAATGACAATCAAAAGTCGAACTCTAAGCCAGATGGAGCAGGACAAGGCGGGCCCGTCGAAGGATCTACAGATCATTGATAGTATCCAACAAAAGCACATTTTCAGTCTGTCAGTTTCCTTCAACGCCGTGGACATCTGCGCCGGAAAATCTCTGAAAGTCTTCGCCGCATTGCAAAAGAAGGACAGGAATGTTATATGCAGTTTGATTAATTCAGGACCCGTCACGGATACTCGAGTATTGCATCGCGCCATCAGTCTCGAGCATATGCAGAGAAGTTGCCCCGCAATCCGGGATCGACACCGGCTCATTCATCCCCGAATTCCGAGACCGGCGACTTGAATTACTCCAGGAGAACAGGCCAGGCCTTATCTGTACCTGAATGCCGAGCTGCCGTTGACCAAGAGATCTCACACAAGTATTATGATAATTTGTGCATTGTGCAACCGACAGAGTGCTTGAAACCACCCAATTTCACGTGTCTGATCGAAATGGCTGCGTTGTATCTTTGCGTCAAGCACCCATCGCTGTGGCTGGGCGATGTGGGTCCCCTGTAGACTGCAATTCCGCCGCTGGTCGCAGCTGCCCGGGGTTGTCCAATTTCATCAAGCGCGATTGTTCTGGTCGTCAAATCACGGTCAACAGCGGGCTGTAGATGCCTATCACTGCTGGACTTCCACTACCACTTTCCCACCTTCATCCTCCAAGATGCATATGATCATCAAACAAGGAGATCCTTCATCCAGGTTCTAACGGCTCCCGGATTTTCCATCGCTTAACGTCATCTCTACACGCAGAGCCCCAGTGTCCTTCCCGAGTGATGAACCGCAAAGATTAATGCATTTCTGAAGTCTGCTGGTACGAGCCACCATGCATATTGTCGACACTGCTGTCCGCGGAGACTGCATCTGAACTCCTTGTATCAGCGCCGACAATCCACCGCCTCGTAACAATACTCGAGAACATCTGCGAGGTCCCACCCTAGTCAAGGGGCATTGATTGCCATGAGATCCTGCCACTATCGCTCGCAATGACCCAGTTCGAGACGGTTCATGATGTCGAGATGCCATTGATCACGGACGAGGCGCGCATCGCCCTTCGAGCGGCCGACGGCTTACGACCTCACCCTTCTCGTAAATAGGCGAAAAGGACGCTTAATCGGTGCTGCAGGGCTCAGGTCCTCAGTCTGCAGATTGTAATCACCCAATTATGAGAGAAAGGAAACTTTGGCGTTTTCCAATGAGCCCCGCCGGCGTTGATGTGTTTCACAGGGTGTAGTGTATGTGCGCGATCAAGATGCAGATTGTTCCGATGGAGGCCTGGAGGTGATTGCTGATTACTGGAGCCCAGGTTGGACTCTCTCCGTCCGTGGCCTAGCCGAGCAAGCAACACATGACACACGGGGCCCGAGCAAGCTTGAGTCTGGCCGCTGAGGCAGTGTCGGGCAAGGCACGACCCAGGCGCAGACCTGCGAGGTCCTTTTCTGACGGTTGGGGCCGTACTTATGCAATGCGAACCATGCCATAAGACCTCATTACAGACTCAAACGATTCATTTCTATCTATGCGTTACAAGGTGGTTGTGTGTGGTGATGCTCTAAGTGTGATATGCCAATGCTGATGATGCGATGTCAAAAAGAGGTGGATTTAAAAGACGAAGGAGAGTGCCGAGTGGGCGAGGGAAATCACAAGTTTCTGCCCTTTTTGTTGCCTGGTCTAAGCGACAAGAACGTCGCGCTTGATTGATCTATGGATGCGATGAAGTAAACTGCATGTCGTCAGCTCCAAAGTCGCAAAACGATTCGAGCCTTACTCACTGCTGATGACGATAACGAGAAGTGTTCATTTGGCTTGAAGGTCGCCGCTTCGGAAGGAATGGTAAACGACAGGCCGGAACCGGCCCTCCAGTCTCCGCCGCAGGAAATTAGCGAAGGAGTCTTCATCCTGCCAGCCATGATGCGACGTCGAGGACGAGCGACGCAGCGGGGCAGGCCGGTGTCTCCGAGAACCGCGAGTCTCCGGCTGCGATGAGCGCCCGTCTTTGGAAGACACGCTCTTTGTTTGCCATTCAGAGTGTCGCTGAGATGCCACAGAGTCGGAGGGGCAAAACGCGGAGTCAGAGTGGGGATTTTCACGCGGTTCTCGTTCGGAAGGGCTGGGCTAGGCTCGGGAGTGAAACCGGCGATTCGATGCACGGGAACCGCACGGATGGCATGAGAAGGGTCTGAGGGCAGGTGTGGTCGTGCCCCGTCACAGTTGTGAGAAGGCGGTGCCTCTATTTTCCGATGAATGACCTGATGAGCGATAGGAATAGGTGCCAAGACCTGGCTCGCGAGGGGAAGGGCGAGGTCTGCGTGTCCTGCGTGACGGGAAGAGACGCGAGGAAAGGTATAGAGAAGGGCGCCCGAATCTTCCTGGGGACTTCGTGTGAGAGTGAGACCGTATGTGTAGTTTGTATTCAGTGCCGAGTCCCACGAGGCCAATTCCAGCTCGAAAATGAGCTCAGGCGACAGAGGACGTTCGGAAGATCCAGTGTTACGGGTGCCTGCTTGCATCTCGTCGGTGCGCCTCGGAATCTCGATTGGAGACGACGCCCGCACGAAGTTCGGATGGAAGAAGAACGACTCGGTGCTTGGACTGTGCATCGTTGAGAGCTGCAGAGGGCGATAATGAACAACGAGAGACTAAAAGCGTGGGTCCATACTGACTTGAGCCGAGCACTTATACCTCTGCTCCTTCAAACGCCACTCCGACTAGGCACCGGTGGAGTGCGTGGTCCACAGGTGCGGAAACGAATGAAAGAGGTGCCTAAGAAAGGGCGTTGTCCTCACGTAGCAGGAGGAGATGCAGTGCGCTTGGAGACGAAGGTTGGCACGAAAAGTCACACCAGTGCCACTTGCAGATAGATGCCAGATGGGGACTAGGCGCCTGAAGGGCGATGAACACGGGCTAATGGCGAGTTGGATGGTAAAGGGAAGTGTAGAAGAAAGAGAACGACCCAGGGTGTGGCCGCGGGTACGTCGTCGTTATAAAGAGACAGAACAATGGGAGAACAAGGCCTGGATCTTACAGGTGACATCCGATTCGGTGTGAATCATTCGCTTCCTTTCGTGGATCGGGTGAGTTTGGCAGGTGATGTGACATCACCCCGCGTTTTGCTTCCGTCTATTGTCAAACTTCCCCGTGGTAGAGTCAAATCTCGGCTCGCCTCGACGCACGAGTCAGCCTTATTGCCTCTCACACTTTATGCTTCATGGCGGAGAAAGCTATACTGGATCCTTCCGGCCTCCCACCGATCGTGTTTATTATAGCGCGGTTTGCAGATCCTGACACCGAGCATGATGCTCCAGACGCCCTCCCGAGACTGACGGGAGTGGACGTGGAACTTATTCGGGGAATGCTGCTTAAATTTGCTGGAAAGAACGATGGGCCCTTGCACCCTGGCATGTTGCGTAGGAACGCGCCGGATAGTGTGATCAGGTGAAAAGCGAGAGGGAAAATGGACGCGTCTGAAATTACTTTAGTCCCTCGATCGAACCTGCGAAGGAGTTCGCAACCGTCCTCCTAGTCCCCGTCTCCCTCGGGTCAACCGTGTGTACTACAAAGAAGTCTCCGACCTCTCAATCAAGTCACAATATTTTATTGAGGACTTCGCAACGCCTTGCGACCCTTCGAGCCAACTTATTGCAACGCTGCTCCAAACGATGGGCTGGCCTTCTCGTCTCATCACACGCATTTTCTTATGTGATAGATGTATCATTCGAAAAGTACATTTCAGGTCGGCGCCTTCTATGCCCGAACAAGCAAGCCAACGGTTGCGAGAGCTCTAGCTCTAACTTGTGAGTAGACTACGAACGACGTCGGTCATACCCAAAATGGAAGATCCATCCATCAATTTTCGGTTATTGCCGAGAATGATGTCATCCCCCCGACATACTTAACTTGCTCCAAACCTCTTACGATTACCATTTGAACTATCAACATGCCTTTCTCCGTCAACGTACATCACCTTTCGTAACCTTCTTCGTGTTCTCACTCATCGGCGCTTCAGGTATCAGACATCTCATCCTCCACGACGGAAACTCACCTTCAGGAGTTCTTCGCGTACGTTCACAACCTCTGATCTCACGCTTGCGCTCACAATGCGTGTTTCAGGTTCTGTGGAAAGTATGTGCTAGATCTCCCCAGATTCCCGACCCACCCTCATAACTCCAATAGGATCGAATCCATCGATTTCAAGCCACCTACGGCTGTGATCCATTTCGAGAAGTCCTCCGCAGCCAAGACGGCCCTTATGGTGACGTCTCAAACCATGCTGTCTCCTACCCCAATTATTAATCCGATCTTTTCCGGACTTGCAGCTGAACGGTGGTACTCTGGATGGTGCTGAGCTCCGAGTCGAGTCGGAGGTTGAGCACCACGACGAGGAGCACACGGGTGAACCAATCCATCACATTGAGCAGTCAGATAAGCCTCGGGCTGGAAGTGCGTGACGAATAGTCGTGGTTGGTGGAGTTAGCTCATCGATGACCAGTTGCTGCGGAATACCTCGCTAAAGGATACACCCTTTCCGACACCATTTTGAATCGCGCCATCGAGATCGACAGTACGTGTCTACTCGTGTTTGCGGTGTTGAATGCATCCTGACCGACATCGCTTGATTGTAGCCAAGCAAGGCATCTCTAAGCGCTTCCTTTCTTATCTCACGCATCTCGACACGACGGTCGGCGCGAAGGCTCTTGGAGCAGACAAGACGATCTCGGGCAAAGTGACAGAGACACTGACGTCCGCCACGCAGCAGGCCAAGGCCCTGGATGAGCAGAAGGGCTATTCCAAGACCGCTGGCGACGTGCGTCCACCGTGCAAGCCAAAAATTCCGCTGACTATCCCGTTTGCAGTACTACATTAAGGCGCTTGCCTCGCCTTTTGGCGCAAAGGTCAAAGCCTTTTACACTCAAACTGCCAAACAGGCGTTGGACATCCATGAAGAGGCGAAGCGCATTTCTGCCAGCAGAAGGCTGAGGCAACCCCGGCTCCTGCCGAACATGCGAAGACAGCGTAAAGAACAATTGTTTCTGTACCGGAGGTTACTTGTACAATCGATCAAGATATTTGTACCTTAGTCCTAAATTGTGAATATGTTTGAAGTTGTGGACATGGGCATGACTGTGATGGTCCCTCAGTCGATGAAACGGCCGGACAACAGAATCACAGCGGCGGCGACGACGGCATGCAAAATTTGTGAATCAATACTGCCTGGAGTCAGATCGACAAAGGTGCCGTTCCCACCGTGCCGAATTCGACCAGCGAAAACAGGATAAGGTTGATCCACGAGATACATCTTTCACTTTGGATCAGCACTGAGTAGCAAAGGGCGAAAATGGTATCACGTTGACATGTTCACCCTCTGGCACCCAGCGATACTTGCGTCCTTGGAAAGTCATTGATCGACTACCGGGACATTCGGTTAGCTACTTAAAATGAAGACTAGAGACAAGCCTCATACCTCAAATCCGGAGACAGAGACAACCAGCGCCGGGCTTCGACTGAGGGCAACGTGTTGGGTAATTCCACTCGGGGAAATCTGCCGCGCCAGTCGATTGTGCCAACTATCGCGTATGATCCATTCTGCAGGACAGAATACGAGTCGTTGCTCAAGATCCGGAGCACAGTCGTCGCCCCGGGGTCTCTGATGATCCAGTTCAAGGGCTTGCTGTCATCGGTCGATAGAAACATGTACTCGACGAGCGAGCTGGGGTGCGGAATCGACCAAGGGTAGCTTTGCTGGAAAGGGTTCATGAGTGAATGGGATGCGAATCATGAGATGGAGAGCAGCTCTTAAATACTCTCTGAGTGACCAGACTATGCCATCTCAAATAGAGGGTACTCTTTGAATTTCGACCTCCGCTCGAGTCAAATCGCTGGGATCTCGGGAGGCATGCCTGCTTCGGAGCGTTTTGATGGGATAAATCGTTTGGTTACAAGGCGATCTTGAAGCCTCAAGATTGAGGCGTGATGGATTGCATAGAACGGCGCCCTGCGACGCGTTGGTTAGGAATAACAGATGCTTCCGGTTGGAAAGAGGCTGGTCCTGTGTCGATCGAAGTCCCCAACTGTATTGATCGCAATGCCCAACTGTGTCGATTCGAGGTCCTCAGAAGCACTTTCATCTTTGAGTAATGCGCATCGGACTTGATTTTGTTCAGGGAAAGGCGATGTCCATCATCTGTGAGGTGGGTTGGCCCGATCGCCGGGCTGCACAAGTCGTTTGTATAACAGGAACACCGCCTGATTCCTATGCCCATTTATATTGCTGTGGTCTTTGACGTAAAGCAGATGGAAGACGGCCTCCAAGTAGCCCACTTGCTCCGAGTGCACAGGCTTGGCCAGCAGAGAACAATGGTTGGCATATCGAACAGATCTAATGAGGCGGCGGACGAGCAACTCAATCGGTGCTCTGAGTCGTCTGCCAACAGTTTCATATGTCTGAGTTGGATGCGATCCTCTGAGTCAACCCATGAGATCCAGAGAGCTAGGAGGCCAGATGAGGCAGACGAACAAACGACAGTCAAATATCGGACTAGAAGTGGTACGAGTGGATGGGCTCGGACTGCCGAGAGGCCCGAGACAGTGGTCTTGCGTCTGCGCAACGAGACGGAGAGTGGAAGACTACCAACTTCACGCTATCAGATTTGTCATGGTAGTTAACGTCATCAACTTGTTCCTCTTCACGTGCGTCGATGGTCCACAGCTCTATTAGTATCATCCGGCCCCAGTGCCTCTCGCCCGGTGAAGAGATCCCCGACTCGCATAATAACCGCTGCGTCCCCGAGAAATGGGGGAATCTTTGGATCACGGTGCCAGCATGTTTGTAGGCCATCTCGGTCACTTGAGCACGAGCCAAGAACGGGCGCTCGAAGCCTTCAAGACTATTCTCGCGGATGCCAAACTCTATGACCCTGCAAACCCCAAACTCGATGATCCGACATTGCTGTGCGTGAGAGCCTAGTAGATGCTTCGGGCGCCACACCTTAGAACATTGAATGCAGACGATTCCTCCGAGCACGCAGCTGGGACCCTAAAGCGGCTTTAAAGCAGTTTTCGGACGCCCAGGAGTGGAGAAAGCAGCACGATGTCGACAATCTCTTCTCTTCATTCGATACTGCCGAATTGGAGGACAGCAGAAGATTTTATCCGCGCTGGACGGGGAGGCGAGACAAGGTATCTAATATTTGCTCGGTCTGTTGAACGTGTTGGAAGTCTGACCTGTGAAGTAGAGTGGCTTGCCAATATACGTATACCACCTTTCATCTATGAATTCAGGGGTCCAGAAGGAACTCAACGCGGTTGCTCCTGAGCGCCGTTACCAACGCATGTATGTGATCCCAGTCAGGCCCACTTTTACACTTCTCAACTGATGGCACAGTGTTGTTCTTTATGAATGCATGGTCGGGTTTATACTGCCCCTATGCAGTGCGCTCCCGCACGGAACAGACACTCCAATCACTTGCGTAATGACCATCATCGACTTGAGCCAGGTCTCACTGGGATCCATGTGGAGTTTGCGCAGTCATCTGGCCGAGTCGTCAAAGCTTGCGACAGCGAACTATCCAGAGACGTTGGGTACCATTGCAGTTGTCAATGCGCCCTCGTTCTTCCCGACCATCTGGAATTGGATCAAGGTACTGTGGCGTCGTTTTCTCTCAACACAATTGCGTGCTCACCTTTCCCTCGAGGGCTGGTTCGACCCGGGCACCCGCAACAAGATCCATATCCTGGGCAAAGATCCAAGCGAAACCCTGCTGCAGCTTATCGATGCGCAGAATCTCCCCAAGCAGTACGGTGGCTCGCTGGAATGGGATTTTTCATGCGATCCAAACCTGGACGAAGCTGCGATCGCCCTCGTCGGAGAGATGCCCAAGGGACCGACTGTTTTTGTAGACGGTGTTGTCACTAGACCGTAAAGTAGCGAGAAGTATCATCATGTAGAACTCATTGGGACAGTACTTATCTCGCTTCGGGATGACGTCCTGATCACATTCTCAAACCATCAATTTGACCATGTATCCCTGGCACGCTCTGATGCTCTCTCATCACTGTCGTCAACGAACTCGACGTTTTTGCATATAAATCCTGCTGGCGAGATGCACAGACGACCTGTTGCTCTTCCTGTTCTCTGTTGTCCCTTTTTCTTTCCTTCTTATCATGGCCGGGGTATTATCTCCCTTTTTCTTTTTCTCTCTGGCCTGTCTGCCTTTGCTGTGCAAGGCGCGAAGGTGTCCGCGCGGGGACCCTCCAAGGCCAACGATGTGATCGTCCAGGTCCGTGGGACTGCCACACGGCCGCTACGAGCCGACTCATTGCGATAGATGTTTGAGTGGCCGTGGGATAGTGTTGCATCCGAATGCAGTTTCTTGGGCTCAGCCGGGTTCGGATTTGTGCAAGTCAGCCCGCCGACGGAGCACATCACGGGCCCGCAGTGGTTTACGGACTATCAACCGGTGTCGTATACGATTTCATCGAAGCGAGGCAACCGGACGCAGTTCGCGAACATGGTCTCGAGCTGCAATTCCGCGGGAGTAGGGATCATCGCAGATGGCAAGTGGAGGAAGATCCGTCCCCTTTTTTCCGCGTGCTGCGATATACTAAACTCGAGAACAGTGGTTACGAACCATATGACCAGGTAGGCTCGGTCGGTTGTTCGGATCTTGAATTGGCTCACATCGACTGCAGCGGAGCAGGAACCGGCTTCGCAGGCACTGTGTACACCAAGTACAGCTAGTGAGTTCCCTCCGCTCACCGCGGCGGGCCTTGACCAACTTGGGCGTAGTCCGATCTACTCTGCCGACAAGTTTCACTACTGCCAAGGTGGCACCACGGCATCGACGATCTCCAACTTTGACAATATCACGGAAGTCCGCACCTGCGAGGTCAGCCCACTGAGTCTTGTCGCATGGAGAAACATTCAGTAATCATCGCAGCTTGTCGGATTGGCCGACTTGGCCCAAGAGCAGCCTGCTGTTCAGAGCACGATCGCGGGACTCTTGAACGATCTGCTGTCTCTGGTCAGACGATCTGGCCTTATTGTGCATTTATTTAATCTTATCTGAGATTATCAGGGCGTGGCTGGCTTCCGGGTGGACGCTGCCAAACACATGGACCCGGGCACCCTCAAAGCCATCTTTTCGCAGTTGAATGGATCGCCGTATATCATCCAGGAGGTGCCAGCCGGCGGTGCCAGCGAGCCCGCCCAGTATACCGGTAACGGGTGTGTCCTGATCCCATCATTTCCGTTCGACAGTTGGGCTGAGCTCGGGCTCAGGGATGTTATCGAATTCGGTGCCACCTCGTTCCTTCAACAGTCGTTTGAGGGAAGCAACGGGAACTCGGTCGGTGGGCATCGCTCTTGTTTTTCACTTGACTAATTCATTGTTCGCAGGTGTCGAACTTAGTCACTCCCACCCGTAAGAAGTCGTGGGTCGTCCGCAGACGCCGGCTAAAGATACTGCAGCCCTCAGTTCAGAATTCGGGATTATTGATGGCCTAAATGCCAATTTCATCATGGCTAACCAAGACACGGAACGTTCCGGGAACTCGCTCACCAGTAATTCAGCCAACAACGCTTACGTGCTCTCCGCCATCTTCATGCTTGGCTTCAACTACGGCACTCCGACGGTCTTCTCTGGGTGTGTTGTGACAGGATCCCTTTCTTCCAGAATTGACTCGGGGGTAGATACAATTTCACGTCGTTTGACCAGGGCGCCCCTCAAGACGCTGCTGGCTTTACTGACGAGATCACCTGCTTCCAGAATGGATTCCGATGTGAGTGTGGCTCGACAAATTGTGTTTGATGCTGATCTGCGGGAGGCGAGCACCGCTTCACGGCAATCGCAAACATGGTTCAATACCACAACGAAGTTGGCTCTAATCCGCTGACGAACATCGCTGTCGGCACGAAACAGCAAGTGGGTGAGCCGGAATTTCGATCGGCCCTTTTGTCGCCAGACGCTGAATCAGATCAGCGTTCGGTCGCGGTGCTGCCGGATTCTTGGTCGTGAATAACGACGCCACGGCATGGTCTCAAACTTTCGCTACGTCTCTGCCAGCGGGGAATTGTGAGCAGCTCTTTTTTCTTCCTTGATCAAGAGTGCCCTGCTAAATCAATATTTCGAGACTGTGACATCATGTTGGACTCATGTTCCAGGAAAATTGTTTCCGTGCTGATGCCATTTTAGCCACGACTCGGACCCGAACCCAGCAACTTGCACAGGACCGACAATCACTGTGGCCGCCGATGGGACATTTTCTGCTTCCGTCAACGCTTTCGATGCGCTTGCAATCCGCGCTAGTTCCAGTCAGTCCGTGATCTTTCCGGAGACGACATACTCAGCGGATTTTTCAATAGCTGCTCCGTAACGATGGCCGAGAGGAAAATTGAACATCATGTGACCAGGATGACTCTGTGTCGGCATGTCTTAGTTACACCTTCATTTCGTCTTTACCCGTCCCGCGATAAATACGCGAGCTTTGTTTCAGGGAGGTCCAGCCATCATGCTTGGTCTCCCGGCCTTGACCAGCCTCCTGCTCCTGCCATCTGTTGTCGCGTTCCCGCATCTCTTCGACGTACGGGAGAGCACAGCCTCAGCTACGCAACCGAGCCCAAGTACGACGAGTCTCCCGGATTCGGCACTCAATGTCACCCAGAGCTCCAGCTCCAATTCGTCGCTGGATGGATTGCTGGTCGCGAGTGTGATCCAGGTCCATCAGTCGTTTGAGAGCGCCTTGACGACGGCAAGCGCTCTTACGCAGACGATATCCGCCATTGTGACAGGGAGCGCCGCGAACAGCATTCCGGTAAGTATGCACATGCATGTCTCGGTGCTCCCTTCCCGCTGCTGATCGATCCCAGTCGGATCTCATCGCGGGTTTCGTGAACTGGACAGCGAACTGCTCCGCGGCCGTGAACCAGCTGACGGCGACGCTCATCGTCGGCTACCCGGCAAGTAACGCCGGGTACGCGAATGCGTCGCTTTCGTCCGTCGCCGTGAATATCGTCGCCATGGCGGACCAAGTCAGTAGACGCCCTCACTCCTCTACACCAGCAGCTTCTCAAGTAGCCACGCAGATCCAAGATCTCCAAGTAGCCCAGTCCCAGTTCAACCTGCAATTTATCCCTTCGCTGCAGAATCTGCTGCATTCTTTCTCGGTGAGCTCGCTGGGACATCGGGAAATTTGACATGACATAAGCGCGTCCAGCTTCTGAATTTCTTCTACGGAGACAACGATCAACTGCTCCGCGCGATCCGTTTCTTCAACGCATCTCTCTCGCTGCTGCTTAGGTTCCAATTCTTCGTTTGATTGTATCAATAGCAAGTGTACAACAGATAGCGTGGATAACAGAGACACATCGCTTTCAGTCAGACCAGAAAAATCTCAGCCCTTCAGGCAGCCAAAGCAGCCGCCAGGATAGAGGCGAATTTGGGCGTTCCCAGTCCGGTGACTGCGTGTGAAATGAGCAGGAGCTTTGGGGAGATGGATCGCGCAGAACATACCGGGGTCCCATCCAGCACGTGCCGCGAATCCATTGGTGTTGCAGCCGGTGTTGTGGCCGCTGTGGGGAAAGGCTTGATGAGCCGGAGTGTCAACGAGAAGCGCGAGCCGAACTCACAGGGTCACGTCATTGAACACACTGGGGTTGGCGTACAGGCTGCGAAATGGGGTGAGATGAGACATCGACTCCACAAAGGCACGATTCAACGAACAAGGGGTTCAGGAATCCGAGCGATGACTTGCCAGCAGCAATGCGGCGGTCGTTGATCAGGCCAATCACACTGGCGAAACGTCGGGCTGGAGCACGAGGTGCCGGACACACCTTCGAGAGTACCGCCGCTGACGATGTCAAAGTCGACTGGGGGCTGTAAGCAGAGGGATCACAGGGTGGGCAACAAGCGCTCTGACCTCCTTGCGTGGATACGTCGGGGAAAGCACGTCCAGTGGGAGTGAATTTGCCAGAGTTGGTGGTCCCGAGGAGACTCAGGTACTGTTTGACCGCAGCGGATTGGTAGCTGGGCTGGGCAAAGACACGGCTGAAACCTCCCGAGGAGAAAGACGCAGCAGTTTCAGACGGAGGAATGCCAGAGACAGCGCCAACGCTAAACGCGGTGAGTCAAAACCCCAGAACCTAGATCCAATCCCACCTGGTCAAGAATGGGCTGAGGGAGAATGTCAGATGATGCTAGCGACGGTCTTATTCACTCACCAGCCCGATGGGAACGCCGGGATGAACGTCGTGCACGACTGAGACTGGCCGCCGGCAACTCCGCCATCGCCAGAGGCAAACAGGATCGAACCGCCGCGCGTGCCGTAAGCGGCATAGGCATTGCACAGTTTCCTGGTGGACCGGGGTCAGCCGCAAAAGGAACCCTTTCGCGGAAAAGTACTAACGTGAAGTCAGCCGCGGTCTGGTCGGGCTCGTCCTCTCCGTACGACGTCGTCAGAACTGAAACATCGTCATGAAACGGCCATCAAAGTGGCTGGGGCCAGCGGACCTTGGGGAACAGTAGTGAGCCCGCTCAAGTTGTTGATGATGTCCAAGAAGCCAGTGAGTGCGCCGTCGGAAAATTGTTCACCGCCGCTGACGAACGTGACAGGGACGCCGCTGGCGACACCAACGGTGTACTGGATATCTATGGGCCAGGTGAGAAGAGCCTGAGAAACACGACATTTCCTACCGAGATTGGCCTCAATTCCCGCCTGGCTGGCACTCTGGGTGTTTGCACCACCGTCGAAAGTACGCAGGGCGAAGGTGGTCGTGCTCGGCAGATCGGTTCGGAACCTGGGCAGATCATTCAATATCCGCTTGGATCCAGATATCAAAACCGTTGTACCGTGTCAGGAAAGAGCTGAGATCCCGAGTCTGGGCAAACTAGGCGACCGTAAGAATCCAGAATCCGGCTGATTGGTGTCAGGCCTACCTGCTCGATGAATCCAGCGACGGCGATCGAGTTCGATTTTTGGGTGGCCAAAGTCGTGGGAATTCCATACATAGCTTGGAGACAAGCCGGGGTCACCTAAATGATGTCAGAAGATTGATAATGAAGAGGGCTAGATGCATACAGTCGTCGCGCAGGAAGCCGGCACAGCATCAGGCGAGAGCGTCTCGTTGACCGGAGGGCCTTCAGCTTGGCAGAAACGACTGGGCCACGGCCGACACCCAGCGGACGAGAGAAGCTGAAGGTCATGTCAGCATCAGTCGATGCAAGGTCTTCGATTCACATACCCAGTGGTCGGGGACAGGGCTTCGATGTGAGCGTGCAGATTCTCCGGAAGCGAGTATGCCATGGTACGAAGCATCTGCTTTCCAGATTCGACGTGCGTGAACGATTCATAGTTCTGTCGCCAACCATGAGCGACCTTTTGTTCATGAGATCATCACAGGCTTCCTCACCGCATCGAGCATCTCGTTGAGCTTAGAGACCGGAACCTGGACCGAGAGCCATTCTCCGTACGGCGAGTCGACGTCAGCCTTGAGTCCGTGTGACTGCAGCCACTCAGTGACGGCGGTCAAAGACTCGGCGCTTGGCTCCATGAATGCTTTCGCCTCCTCGAGAGAGAGATGCTGGCCGTAGAGCGCGGATCCAGGCGTCGAGACAGCATAGAGCGTTTCCTCGAGACCTGATCGACGACATGTGAGCTGCGAACAATTGCGCCGGAGATGGCGAGCCCACCCGGGAAATTGTTGCTGAAGAGACCGAGCCGAAGCTTGACCGTTGTCTCAGGCGACGGCACACCCGCCTTGACGAAAGTGCTCGGGATCGAATCTCGTTTCCCGTGAAGCTTGAAACCGCTGCGCGGCGCCGGGGTGGCAAGCACAAGAGACAGCAGAGACGCAAACAGGACAGCAGTGGCAACCATGTTCGACACTGAACTGCTTGAAGCGCAAGTGGCCTTTTTATGCATGGACAGAGGCAGATAAGGTGTGAAGCGAACGTCGTGGCGGCTCAAGTCATGACCATGGTGGATCGCATGGTGCCACGAGTGACAGACTCTGCGACGAAGGACATGGCCCGTCTATTCCGAGCCAACGCATGGAGCATGAGAGACATCAGGTCCATGATTAGAAAGAAAAATTGAGAAATGCGCGTTGGCCACGAGATTCCACCGTCTGGAGTCCTTGGCGTGAGTGGAGACCAGACTGTTTCGATGACCTCGTGAGGGAAAATTTCAGGATGAAGATTCTTTTGCGTGCAGACGTGAGAAGATGCTCCGGATCTCGTAAGGAGCACGCAGAGTCGATAATCATGGTGCGACAAGTTGGAACAGGACGAAAGTTCACACTGCTTGATGGAAATCACTATCTGTGACGCGACACTCGGTCACGACGATTAGCAGTTTCTGATCTTATCTAGTAATCGGGTCAGAACAAAGTAACGAAATTAGAAGTACAAGTTTATAGTGTGCCCCCGGAAGGATATCTACTCGTGCACATTAAGCAACAACCTATTCGGAGTCATTCAGCATGTCCAAGAGGGTGATCATGAGTACTTGCCGGCCAACCGCTCGAGAAGTCCAATCGGTTGATCCCGAGCTAACACTACGTGAGAACCATGTGAAACAGTGGAAAGATGTGAACGCACGAAGCTTCCGGACGAGGTGTAGTAGTCTGATCATCGGATTAAAAACAGCAATGAGAGAAAAAGGCATATCGTACGGTAAACCAGGATCGGGCCATCGGCATCATCCATAATGTCCTGCCCCCCAGGTCCCACGATCTGCGGATAGATTATCGATATGCCAGCGCGCAACCAAAGAGAAGACTCACGTTTCCGTGAGTACCAAGCACAAGAGTGCCGCCGCCATTGGTAAGGTGGGTGCCTTTCTGATCGACGAAGTTGGCAGTGGGGCTGGTTGACCGACCAACACGGATGTTGTAAGTGCTGGAAGTGCCCTATGCCGATGGCTTGAGAACGATGGAAAGCATGCGCAAGAGCCTGACCTTGCAGCAGTTGTCCCAAGATGTAAACAGATAGTAGTACGACCCGTGCTTGTAGATCGCGCTTGCCTCCATAGCATCGGGGCTGGCGCGTTGGGCAACAGAGGTCACCGCAGAAGAGGAGAGCTTCCCGGTGCTCGGGCTCAGCGACTGCACTTTGATCCCAGACCAGAAGCTCCCCAGCGACAAGTACCAGTGCGATCCGTCAATCAGGAGACTGGGCGATTGTCAAATACATCCGCTCAATGCATCAGACACGACGCACTTGGGATCAATGGCCTGATGATACCGTCAAATAGGTCAAGAAGTGAACAGATTGAGGCTTACGTTGTAGCCCGAACTGGAACTGCTGGAAGTAACCAAGCCTTGGTTGGACCAGCTGCCTGGCATGCCAGTCGTCGACTTGGCGAAGAAGATGGCTGACTGATTCCGGATGAGGACAGCTCTGAACACGGCTGCAGAAGATATCCACCTTGGCCGATCCAAAAGTGGAGGCGGCGTAATAGAGCTAAAGCAAGATTGGTTATCGGCGAAAAAAAGTTGGGCTCATCGACTCACGTAGAAAGTGTTGCCGACGACAGTGCAGTCAGGGGCCCAGAGCGCGCTTTGACTGGATAAGTTTGCGTGTCTCCAAGGTCGTGGAGACTCACCCATTGCTGGTGCCAGTGTAGGCATCCGTCCAGGGCGCACCATTCGGGAAGACCGAACCCACCAAAGTCCACGCGGTCCGGTCCGGGGACGTGCGAACCTCGAGGCCAGTTCCTGTAGCTGAGCGTCGGTCAGTGTCAGCTGTGTTGCCGGATTGATTTGTGGGTGACTCTCACAGAACACGAAGTACATCCCGTCGGACCTCTTGCACATGGTCGGGTCGTGGACGGCTGTGTTTCCAGTCACATGACCGGGGCCAACTTGCGCGCTGACGAGGGGGGCAAGCACCAGAGAGGCGGCGGCGAGTACCAGTTGGGACAGCATAGTTCAAACTTCGCTAGCGACGGAGAAAGTCGTCGGAGCGCTTTATACCAAGGCATTCGGATAATTTATATTGCTTATCCATCATTGCTAAGTCTTGTGAGGTCTTGTGGTGCAAATTGCCCAGGTCGACGCAGCCCCAGGCGGGTTGTCGCGTGGCAAAAGATCTTGCTGTTGCCATGACCAAGCTTCGATCACAAGGGTCGCCGGCTCCATTGCTGAAGAGAAAAACTCCGACTCGGATATATCATGGCAAGTGCATTATATCTGAGCTCTGGTGAGCGAGGGCTGTCCAAAGAGACGCATGTATAGCCATTGCACGTCTTTGCTGTAAGTACGCATGGGCAAGCTTCGTCGAGCGCCTTTGCCTCGCGATTAGATTTGATACGCGTCAATGACGGGCCCCGGCGGGCCGATGGGGTGCTTGCAACAACACTTGAGATCCAAGTCTGCAGTTCTGACGAGCGATAGCTGGGACCACAAGGTATCAGCCATCAGCGTGGGGGTCCAGTTGCTTCAAATCTCCACTGTTAGGCTTCAACGTCCAGTCGGGTCGAGATGGAAAATTTCACAGATTGCCTGCCACGTAGTCGATGGCTTTCCCGATACTTGAAGCAAGGTCACTGAAGCATGCAGATCAAAAGGGTCATTCCGGCAATAAGGCGGTCAGACAGCAGTTGTATCGGGCGTAAGCCAGCCTCCGACATCTTCTGTTTCAATGCGAGTCCGTTGATGGTACTTTGGATCGTTGCTTACACCTGCCGCAAGGTGGACAGAGTCTTCCAAGTTTTCGGGTACACTCTGGTGTACTTCGATGCCGTGGTGAAGAGTCTCTATGCGAGTGGCAGTCCATTCACGAGTTCGGGAACCAGACTCATTTCAGATCACGTGGTAACAACCTGGAGGACCGATCAAAATTCGGACCGGGAGTCACGGACCGACTCGCTGCCGCATCTCGCCGACGGTTGTGACGTCGAATCTCTAAACCGACTAATGCCATTGGTCGCGGAACAAATCGGGGTTTTGATCCATTGAAAAGTTTTGCTGGCCATCAACGCTTCACCCGCTTGCCTTTATACCAAAACCCACCTCTTTCTCTTCTCATCCCAAAATGCCTTTCTCCGCCGGTTTGTGCTGGCTCATCATCACTTGCGAGCGCGACGTTGCTCATGACTCCCCCAGGCGACGCTACCAAAGGTGCCAACCTCTTCAAGACTCGTTGTGCACAGTGCCACACCGTGCGTCCCGCTGACCGCAAAATGCCAACTTGATCCTTAACTGGTGCACAGATCGGTGCTGGCGAGCCCAACAAAGTCGGACCCAACCTTCACGGGCGAGTCATCTTCCAGTCGGCCTGTACATTGAATTGACACCACTTTCAGTCTCTTTGGACGCAAGTCTGGCCAGGCTGAGGGCTTCTCGTACACCGCCGCCAACGTGAACAAGGGCGTTGTCTGGGAGGAGCAGACTCTGTTCGAGTACCTCGAAAACCCCAAGAAGGTGTGTGACGTCATCCTGACCTCGTCGTTGACTCTGACCCAAGTGCGAATGCAGTACATTCCTGGAACCAAGATGGCGTTCGCTGGCTTGAAGAAAGACAAGGACCGGAACGACCTCATTACCTACATGAAGGAGGCTTCCGTGCGTTGTCCTTTTTTCCTGAGTGTCGTGTCGGATCTCACATAGTTCACAGGCCTGAACGGTTCATTTCTCATGCCCTCATAATATGGACGGATAGATATAGAAACCGCATCTACAGACCTAATTCGAGGCTTTTACGACCCATGGGCCCGCATCTGTGTAGCCTTAACACCCCCCTCATATCATTATTACGCTGTGCTTTCCGAAACGCGTGTCTGTTCCCTCGCGATCGGCGATTGGGGTGAACTTTTCTACCGTACAGTATACGAAAAGTGTGGTACTCTGACGTTTTCTGGCATCTATTTCGTCCGGCACATGAACTATGAGCTGGCCATGAGCGCATCATTTGACATCTTGAGAATGAACCGGTTATATAATCCGGCATATGCCGAGTGGGTTCAACTTATGGTTGGTCGTCATGATCATTAGCACGATGTGGTCCATGTGGACGGCCCGACCCGAGATGCACCGCGTATAGACAGCTGTTCCCATTCCTGTAACCTCACTCGTCGCGCTTTCAAACCAAACTTTCGTTTTACTTCCCCCCATGTTTGACACGCAACTATGGACACATAACAGCAGTTTGGCAAACGACCACCACCGATCTCAAGTTACTGATCTTGATATAATCCCCAAGGTGCCGCATGCAGAACAACGTCCACGCCCTCTACTGTGGCGTGCTGCTGCGATTGTGTCTCTCTACGAGCCTAGTGTTGAATTCACCCTCTATTCTCATAATTCGAAGGAAAACCAAATTTCACTGTGCCCCATGCTCTACGTTGTTTTGACGCGCGCCATGCTCTACCGAAATATGATATTACAATCAGGGATTGCATTGCATCTGGAGAACACCTGCTTCTATTTCGCTGTCCCGGTGTCGTCTCCACTGCTGACGCTCCTGCGGAGAACATCCCAGCAGAGTATCGGACGCAGATCATACACGGTGGCGGAGCAACCAGCGATTCTGGGCTGCGCCGGAGGTTGATGCTGGAGGCATTTGCAAAGTACAGGCTCGGTCTCCCTGGCTCAAATCGAGATCTTGAGGGGAACAACCAAAAGGTAAGGGCACATTCGACGCCGCGAACACTGACTGGATTTCGCGGCTCTACCTTGAGCTCTGGATAGCCGTGGTTGCCATTGGAGTTCCGCCTGCCAAGGTGTTGCCTCAACATTGGAGCGACAAGCGATCTTGTCGTCTGGATGATTAATTGCTGAACCCTTCCCAGCGCTCAAGACACACGGCGGACCAGACAGGATTGTTCGTCGGCGACTTCGATGATCACGGCAGGTTAGACAGAGACTTGGACCGTGTTTCGCAGTGGACCTGCACAGCCAATGTAACAAAGAGTAATCGAACAGTGGCTAGACTAGGTAGACCGTGTGGTCTCGCAGCGATGTCATCCCGCTTAGACACATCGACGCCGGTCCAGTTGTAGGATGTTCCCTGGTGCAGTCCTTGATTGAGCGATCAGACGGCTCGCTGGGACAAAACTCCGTGCTTGGCAAAGAATGTTTTGGAGATGGAGGAAACACCTCGGGCGTAAACTTGGTTGGTGTAAACCAGCTCGTCGAAGATAATCGCTGGGAACTTCTTATCGGCCACGCTGGAGCTCGGGTGAATCTTGACCACCGAATGGCCCATGATCTGCTTGTAGCTGCCGTCGGGTCCGATGAGGGCTGAATTCGGAGCCAGGCCGTGCGCCAAACTCATCAACACCGGCTCATCTAGGTCTCCGCAACTCGAGCGCCAGTCGATCCCAGCACGGCTGCAGCATTCCCGAAGCTGCTCCCGGATTGCCGTTGCCTCTCGGATGGTGCGCTCGTTGACATAGTGCTGTCGAGCCCACTCTTTGCGTGCAGTTCTCGCTACCTTGTCCTCCGTTTCACCACCGACAGCTCGGTACGTTCGAACGGTATTCAGGATCGTCATATGATCTCCCGTTGGATGTGTTACTTTTCGTCTAGCCTCGAGGATATCTGCGCGTTTATCCGTAACATCCAGCCAGATCTTCGAGGAGGCGGAGAGGACTGAGACAATATCAAGCACCTCGGTCGTGCACGAGAGTTCGGCCGAAGCGACGAGAGCCCGTGCAAAGGCCGGCTCCAAGGGAAACGACGCCATCACACGTCCAAGGGGGGTAACAGCACGATGTGAATCCAGTGCACCCAGCAAGAACAAAGTTCGCAGAGCAGCAGAAACTGACATTATTAGCTCAGGTGCAATAACATCAAGGGGACTAAAAACGCACGAGCCTCTGCATTTGGCGCATCCATCAAGTCGAGCTCCTGCAGATCCTGTCCTAAACAGAACAGGTGTAACATCGCTTGACTGAGACTGCATCGCAGTATCTCTGGCTCGGGAGAGTCATGCATCACAGAAAAGGCGTCTTCGGTAAACAGACGATAGCACACCCCAGGGCCCTCACGCCCAGCACGCCCAGCACGTTGCATGGCGTTGGATTTGGTAATGTCGCGAGTGAGAAGAGTATCGAAACCTGCGAGAGTTCTGTTCGGTACCAAGGGCGAGGGAGAGGGCAGAAACTGACCTCCTCCGTTTGAGCCTGCCAGATAACGCTTTTCTTTGCTCTTGCCCGTATCGATGACATAACGAACTCCCGGGATAGTGATCGACGTCTCCGCGATGTTGGTGGCAAGGATACATTTGCGTACTTTTCGTGGCGTCGGAGTGAAAATGCGCTGCATCTGTGTCTGCTGGAGGGCAGCAAACATAGGGACAACGAGGACCTGTGCGTGGTCTGGCGGCAGTTTACGAGCGAAGTCCTCGATGGAAAGCTGCAGGCTCTCAATGTCCTCCTGACCAGGAAGGAAGATGAGAACATCCCCGGGTCCTTGGTCGACGTGGATCTGGAAGAACGTGCGAGAGGCGGCCTCAACATAGTCTGTCTGACTTTGTGCGGCATGGTAGACCTTTACAGGATGTTGTCGACCCTTGACGTATATGATCTTTGCACTAGAACAAAATCAGCCCCGGATACAGCGGAAAACATACTTGGACACACTCGGAGAAAAACTTGCTGAACTTCTCCGCATCGAGAGTAGCAGACATGATAACAACCTTCAGAGGATTAGGCCTCCCTTTTCCTTTTCCCTGGCTGTCGCCATTCCGCTCTCGCAATATGCGCTTCAAATTGGCCAGCAGCAGATCGGTACGCAATGTTCGTTCGTGGGCTTCGTCGATGATAAGCACCGAGTACTTGGTGAGCAGTGGGTCGCCAAGAAGCTCTCGTGTGAGCATGCCGTCCGTCATATACTTCACCCGCGTTTCTGGTCCGCACTGCTCGTCGAATCGGACCGAATATCCAACCAGTCGTCCGAGAACGGTGCCCTGCTCTTCAGAAACGCGAGCGGCAAGTGATGTAGCTGCAACCTTCCGCGGTTGCGTTACACCAATGATACCAGAGCCCGCCAGACCGCATTCGAGGAGATATTGCGGAACCTCTAGGAAGGGGATCAATTTCACTACGATGTAGGCAAACAAATAATTGGCTGACGAGTCGTCTTCCCAGAACCCGTCTCTCCGAGAAGGACAGTGACATTGTTTTTCCTGATCTCCTCCATCAAGGCGTCTTTGCCTGGTGTTGAACGTATCAGTCCAATACAGTCGCTTTTCAGGTTCCTTTTGTCCCATCTTTTGCGATCGGCAACTGTTTCCTCTGCTCTTCAAGCGGCGTGGACGGGCCGGACAATCGGGCTCTTTTGCGGGGTGGAGTTTTGAAGGCTTGCTTGACCGATGAATTACCGTGCTGATGTTTTCGTTTAGGTGATTGAGGGACCATGATCGAAGGAGTCACTCGATGGGTCGAATCTTTTGGATGGTCGGCCTTTGGAGACAGGCGTTTTGGCGACGGCAACCAGGACAGACATCGAGCGGGGTGAAAAATATAAGTTTGGTGACCGAAGGTCACATTGCGTCACAGCCACATTAAGTATGATTTAGCTTCCAACAACGCATCACGGCGCCCTCGGACGATTGTGCAGTCGGTCATTGCATAATCGAGGCTCGATGTGCGCCCACTATCAGTGGTTTATTTAATTCGCTCTCGACACAGATATTCTACGTCTGATGATGCTGGATTGTAGTTTGACTCGACTGGTTTGCCGGCGAACGAATGAGCTCTATCATACTTTCCACCATTTCTTCGGTCCAAGACTGGGTGTTGGAGGTCCTCTCGCCCCACAATGTCATATATAAATCATCTGCAAGAGCGGGCGTGGGCGCATACACCCATCTATCGCCTGAGGACTGGCGAAGATCCTCCGTAAGCAGACTACCATCATCGTCGTACGACTGGAACACTTTCTTGACCTTGCGTACATTATCTTCAGCGTGACTAGCAGACTGGCTGAAGACACAAGATATTCAAGCCCCTTGAAGCCACAGGAGACCACTGCAAGCTGCGTGGCGCGATAAGACTCCTCCTCTTCCTCCAAAAGTGCTCGCCATCGTTTCGGATTGAGACCAGGATATGCGTCGATCAAATCGAGCATTGCGCGCTGTTGCTGGCTGGTTTTATATTTGTCCTTGGCTGCAGCCTTCAGTCGTCGCGAGAAGTCCGAGAACGCCAGATTCCAATAACAGTAAACATCAGGCATACAGAACACGATCCATTTCAGTCGCGTCACTGTGCTCAGCGGTTTCACAGTGTGTTGCCCGACTTCGATTGAATGGTGGAACAATTCCCCGTATGTGATCCAAGACAGCAAAGCCAACCTCTCCAAGTCGTTCCCATTTGTTCCCTCTCCTGAGGGATGGAGGGAGACCCGAGAAAGCACTTCGCGCTCGTACACCTTCAATGCACGTACTTCCACCATGGAAAGCGTCACAACATCGACCATGAGGCTGAGCAAGCCCTCCACACCATTCTGGATGGCGACCTCCAAACGATAGCGCCGGTTTTCTGAGTCACCGTCGACCGCCCAATTCGCGAGCTTTCGTGCCATGGCAGCAGTAAGGAGGTTTGGATGCGGTCTGAACAAAGACTCTCCGGATCCAGCTGCGAGCCGTGGAATAACGCGATCGTCAGGATGACTGCATGAGAGATACAGGGCTCGTGAGCAGCTCGAAAGTGAAAGAACGTCTTTGATCGTGTCCAGGTGAAATGGTAGAAGTATGAGGAGTTCTGGAGGAAGCTGGTCTAAAGTCATCCGGACTTCAGTGGGACAGTACGGGGTGAACTTGTGGAGTGATCCGGAGAAAGCCGACATGTCACTTCAAGGTTGCTTTCCACAAAGTTCATACAACTTCCAAGTCTACCACGATGTCTGACGTTGCTACAACTGTCGAAATACCAGCTAACTCAGACTCGCTATCGAATGCGCCTGCTTCTTCGTCACCCGCGAAAATCTCCAGTTCTGAGAAGACGGAACCACAGAACAAGCTGACAGAGCAGTTCACAGGCTATGAATGGAAGGCGTTGACAGAGTTCCGTGTACCCAAAGTTCCTTCACTCGGAAATCCCCTTTGTTCAAGTTCTCTGTGCAGACATTGCTTCCAGAATCTCTTGTCTCCGCATATGGCAGGGCTGACGCGAAGACTAAGCCGGTCAAGCTATGGGGTGTGCAAATTGACCCCGCAGACTTGCTCGATGCTCGTGTGAGCGTCGTCCTGATGAAATTTCTTCGAGCAAGGTCGAATTTTCAAAGTCCACCGCACTGATCTTGAGCTCATCTATATCCTGAAGGAATCTTGACGTACCGGCCGCCAATGAGATGTTCATCTCGACCCTTCGATGGCGACAGGAGTTCAACGTGGAGGCAGCCATGACGGAGGAGTTTCCCTCCGATGTGTTTGGCCAGTTGGGTCATATCTATGGCCGCGACAAAGCTGGTCGCCCCGTGGTGTATAAAGCTTCTTCATGCGCGAATGTGTGATCGATTCTCATTCTAACTGCACAGATACAATGTTTACGGAGGAAATTCCGACATTCAAGCTGTGTTTGGCGACGTGAACAGGTTTCTGCGATGGCGGGTGGCTTTTATGGAGAAGTGTCTCACCATGATTGACTTTGAAACCGTCGACCAAGCCCTGCAAGTCCACGGTGAGCTCAGGCTCAGGGCAAGGATCATTACCTCTCACTGATCACCCGAGGTCGCAGACTATGCCGGTGTAAGTATGTCTAGCAGAACACCCGAGTCAAAGAGCGCCGCTTCGCAGGCAAGCGCCATCTTCTCCTCCCATTATCCTGAACTTTTGGTTTGTCTCTCACGAATATCTGCATGCTGGTTTCTGACGGACAACCAGTATCGAAAGTTCTTTGTCAATGTTCCGACGTTCATGAACGTGCTGTTCTGGATGTTCAAGCCTCTGCTACCTGCTGCAACATTTGCAAAGATGACCGTTGCTGGCACCAGCCCTCAGTCAATCGGCAAACAGTTGCTTCCTCACGTCGCTGCTGATCAGCTACCCAAGCGATACGGCGGCGAAGCCGATGCCGAATGGTAGCCTGCGGTGCGAATGCTTAGACTCGCTTCCATCCTCTATATTAGTCTCAACGAGTGTCCTCCAAGTATTCGGCGCCACCTACTATGGACGGCTGGCTTGCATATCTAGTTTGTGACTAGCCCTTGAGAAATCGGGCGTCGTTCTTGATCTATTACAATTTTTCGATGGACAACTATGGTGTAGCAGAACTTCCTTGCACAGCTCACAACATATGTCAAAGGAGCTTTGCTTCAACAAATGTGAGACTGGGCATTGCGACTGCTCATATGAACTACGTAGAGCGTTGCAGATCAAGTGCATGGACGACGCTAATTGTCGCAAAAACATTACCAAGATTACAACAAAATTTATTCATGCAGTTCACAAGAGCACCGAAGCGCGTTGCGCGTAGAACAGGCGCCGTCAGGGCGGTGATGTTCCAGTACCTGTACTGTTTCACGTGAAAAGCACGTGACACGTCAACGCAAAATTCGACTTTTCGGTAAGCAACAAACACTACAGGTAGTATTTCGCTTGGCTAAGTCCTCGCAGCTCCTCAAGACCCCTTCACCCGCCTCTCAAGGTGCGTTCTGCTTCGGCGAGACAGGGTTACTGCCTGACGATCTTTTCGACTTGTGTATGCTGATTTCAGACTAGACTCAATGGCGACGACGAAAGGAAAGACTCCGGCAAAGGACACTAAGGCGAAGGCCGCCAAAAAGGCCGCCCTCCAGGGTGCGAATGGAACTGCGAAGCGCAAGCAACGTTTCTCTGTCTCCTTCCATCGCCCCAAAACTCTTCGTCTGCCTCGGGAGCCGAAGTACCCCCGCCGTTCCATCCCCCATGCTCCTCGAATGGATCAGTTCCGAACGATCGTTTCGTATGTTTCAGCGGAACCTATCGACCTTCAAGACATTGACGCATTGTAGGCCCCTCAACACGGAGTCGGCAATGAAGAAGATTGAGGAGCACAACACCCTGGTCTTCATCGTCGACCTGCGTTCAAACAAGCGTCAGATCAAAGACGCAGTGAAGAAGTTGTACGACGTGAACGCGGCCAAGATTAACACCCTTATCCGCCCAGATGGAAAGAAAAAGGCTTACGTCCGTCTGACCGCCGACCACGATGCTTTGGACGTCGCCAACAAGGTGTGTGGCAGTAGTTCTATGCCATTTGACAGATCCTAAAGTCTACCTAGATCGGCTTCATCTAAACAGATCGTAGCCGTCTTATGTTGTACCATTGCATGCTTGCACACATTCTCTCCATGCTAATACTTATGACGAATTCCATGCGGTCCTTTGAGTTCACCTCTGTATTGCATCCGATCCGACCTGGGTTTCTTGACGGTGGTCATGATGTTGTACTGAGGGATTCCTGACACGGTTCATCTGGACTGATTTTGTCGAGTACGAGTGGTGTGAACCAGTCCACGCACGTATGTATTAGATATATATCTACCAAGCATCACAAGCTCGCGTCTGAATATCCGGTACTCTGCGAGACCGGATGTATGCAGGAGTCACTGGGCAATGCTCCAGATGAGGCCTTCGCCGACCCCCCACTGGTACCAGGCCGAAGAGCATGTCATGTGGAGTGGCGATGCCGACTTTGACGGCCATCACAGTGACGTGACTGCCACCTTCCTTCCTCTTACCAACGACGCCCTCCCTCTGCCATTAGTCCAGCGACGGCTGGCCTCGACTACGGCTTGACCAACTCTACCGTCTCCTTCCTTACGTCTTTCTTTTCACGATGGGAATCCAATTTGGATCCTTCAACTCCATCTGTGAAACCGCTGCCCTCGTCATTTGCCCTCTCATCGGCGGGGACCAGGGAATAGAGCCCTCGTGTTACAGCAGAAATGTGGATATCGGAGGAACTCTCATCTTCCAACCTTGTATGGGACAACTCGCTTGGCAATGCTGATTCAAGATCTGACTGCACCCAGCCACGGTTTTTGTGCATATCGTCGCAATAATAATGACCATCATAATGATCCTGCATATTCGCAGCAAATACACTGCAGTTGGTGAGTGCCCACAAACCCGCTCTCTTTCCTCGCTAATTCGGTGCTCCAGGTCGGAAGGAGATTGTCACATTCTTCTACATGTATGCTATCATCGAGCTCCTCGCCATATTTCTCGATTCGGGAATTATACCCACATCTAACGCAGTATATCCTGTGCGTTGGTGTTAGTCTGGGATATCATCCGACTTACGTCGCACGACAGTGGTTCGCAGCTATTTACACGGGCCTGGTTGCCGGGGCCTATGCTTGCATCCTCATCAACGGCTTCGTCGGTTTCCAATTCGCCGAGGATGGGACACCTCTCTCTCTATGGGTTTGTTCCCCAGCTAAGCTGATACTTCCCCCACTAATTCCGCTCAGGGTTTAAGAATATCCTGCTTGGTCGTCTTTGCAGTCGGTTTCTTCATCTCCATCGCCACTTTCAAGAAGTTTGCCGGATTCAGCAACACCAAGCCGGTCGCTTTATGGATCATCTACATCCTGTGGCCTCTCCTTTGTGCCGTCATTTACATCGTATCGCAGCTGGTCCTTGTCTTCCGGACGTTGGATGACAGATGGCCCATCGGTGATATCGTCTTTGGTGCGGTGTTCTTTGGCGCGGCCCAGGCACTCCTTTTCGGCTTCAGTGTGACCATCTGCAATGCCATCAAGCACTACATCGACGGCCTGTTCTTTTTCACTCTGTGTATGCTCTTGAGCGTGATGATGATATACAAATACTGGGACTCTATCACCGTGCGTCTGCTATCTGCCGTTTCTCTCAGATGGTTGATTGTTTTATAGAGGGAAGACTTGGAGTTCTCTGTCGGATCGAAGGCAGCAGTATGGGAAGTCAAAGATCCGCTGTTGACGGGTCCAGCTGAGTACGGAGTTCCTGGTACGACCCATTACAACTACTCCGAAGAGGATACGGCGAGCAACTTCCATGGTGGAGCGCCCGCTAGTCTGGTTGGCGGCGTCAGCGGCGGTCAGCTGTATGGTGGCGGATTCAATCCGTACGGGCAACAGCAGGGCCAGGCCCGTGGCCGGGGATACCCTCCGAATCCGGAGCGGGGATATTGAGATGAGTGGCAATGGACGCTAAGTACATATCTGCGCAGATAAGCTTGTCTTCTTCGTACACTAATGCGATCACTATGCGCACAAATGCGTTCATCGGGTGACAATGGAACAAAGTAATGTGGATGATTGAAGTCACAATGGGTGAAGTTACAAGAGAACAAAAGTGGCAGGATTCAAACTACATGGTTATGCCAAAGCCTCGCTGTTGTTGTGTCTGACTCGGTGGAGGAGCAGTCTGGCCTACGGGCACAAGCGTTGCCCCGGCAGCAAACGCAGGCACGTTTTTCTCCTCGAGATCAGCGTACAACACGCTCATTTCCTTGTGCTCTTTGACCCAGTTGTCGGCATCCCAGATCGTATACAATCCTTGCTCTCCTCCCGGAACTTTGGTACTCGGTGCTGTGCCGGATTCTTTCGTTATCCATACTCGGAGCTCTTTGTGGTACCTCCAGTTTCTGTTCCATCTACGAGTCATAGATCAGCCGCCAACCAAAAAGCCCCCAGAAGGAAACATACAGCTCTTGAGCAGCGACTTCCTGAAGAGCATCACGAGCACTGGAGTAGAACATGAAGAAGAGAGTCTCGTCGCTGAAAGCGCTGGCTTTGCTGGGTCCTGGAGGTGGAGCATGGACTGCTGCGTAGCAAGCTGGAAGATGGAAATCGGGCTCAACGGCGTGGACGGCGTTTTGGTCCGCCCAAGGCGTGATAAAAGAGGAATATAAGTTGCCTTGGAAGTTCATGTCCAAGCCCATACTGCCCAGATCGGTTCCTATACTGCTCAGCCGGACTCTTGAGTCTCCAGTTCTTCGCGCTCCGCTCGACACATCGAAATCTGCGTCTGAAGATTCCCGGATCATCGCTAACAACCCAAGGAGGCCCCAGCGATCTGCTGCGCTCACTAGCACCTGATGTGCTGGCGTAGGGGGTGTCGCTGCGCCTGCTTGAGCTTGGGATTGTAATAGCGCAGCAGTGCCGGTGCTTGAGTGTGCACTGACCGCCGGTATGCCGGCATTGCTGCTTCCACTCTCAGGAAACCCTTGTGTGGCAGTCGGGTTCAGCGGCGTGATTGTTGCTATTGACGAGGTCGAGCTTGGAGCTGGTGCATGTGACCATGCGGGTGTGTTCAAAGCATTGCTCGAAATGTTTTGACTGGATGCAGCCGGTGTGTTCGCACTAGATTTAACCTGGAGAAAGGGTGTCGACACTGCATTCGGCGGAGCTGGATTCGGTGGATTTGTATGCTGGATTGGGATGCGATTGAGGGCCCGAGCACAAAAGTCGAGAAAAGATTCCGCACCCGTTTTTCGTCAAAGGAACCTGTATGCCTAGCACCCATGAGGTTGATCCCACTCAGATTCAGCATCCCAGGAATCGTTGCAGCCCCTCCAGCATTCCCAAAAAGCCCCGGAGGCCCTCCCGTCCCGTTCGCCGCCACTGCCGTAGCATTCGATGTAGACGTTGTATTCTCCCCCAGAGCAGGGAAGTCGTCTTGGGTCAAATCGCGCGATGGAGCGACGTGAGTAGGTTGAGGTGCGGAGCCAGCCGATGCATAACTGGACGTGATTTGCGGTGTGCCTGTGGAATTGCTCCCATTTGCACCATTCACACTCGAAGTACTCGAAGGTGCGCCGAGCGCAGGGAAGTCGTTGAGGTCCAAAGCCGCATCGGTGCTGCCACCTATTGGATGTTGTGGAGGTTGCTGTTGTTGTTGCAGATGCGGGGGGAGGCCTGTGTGCGAGAGACCGAAAGGAAAAGCGCCAGATGCTCCACCATTGTTGGCGCCATTCGTAGCGCGCGGCTGCATGAACGGGGTGCCTAACGGGACGCGCTGAGGCAGATATCCTGGCGTGCCGAGAACGTTTCTTGGAGGCATTCCATAAGGGGGATATCCAGCAGCTCCTGGTACAGTTTGCGTAGATGTTTGTTGCGGATTTTGTCTGTATTGCGGCTGAGCTGCCGGTCGTTGCTGGCCCGGGTTGCGATTCATCGTTTTCAGAGAAAGAGAGGGTGAGCGTGTTAACCTTAACCCCATGAGAATCTGATGCACCAAAGATCATTGGAGGAACACCAAACCTCACAAGACATTACTCGACATTACTAGAAAAATACATATCCATGGTATCCGCAAAATGTTAGAATCGTCGCGCGCCGCCAGTCAGTCCCTCTATCGAATGGTGCTCGAGATCATTTCTGGCCTTCAATATGGATGCATGCATTTCCTTCATAGCGTTGCCCAGCTTGACACCAAAACGACTCAGGATATCTCGCTGCCAAGAATCATACTTGGCATTGACTTTGGCCTGAACTTGCTCATAGTCCACGATGCAAACCCCGAACGACTTCTGGGTCTCCGAAGTGTCGAAGGTCGATCTGGTCTTCTTGATTTCTGTGAGAAGTTGTTGCCAATGACCGAGTGAATCGCCCAGACGATTGAACACATAGTCGGCTTCAAGATCCCAGAGTGACTGGAACTGTAGCCACTTGCCAACATATTCAGTCAGCTGCTGGACCTTAGACTCGATCAATGCGAATGGCCGCTGGAGTATATGCTCCGGTAATTGTCGGAGCTGCGACGGAAGTCAGCGCTCAGTAGGACCGAAGGAGTACGGAACGTATACCAGGGCCGTATAGTTCGTCTCAGTAACATGGCTGCCTTGCATTTGCAAGCCGATTTCGTAGCGTGAGCTCTGGATACGCCGAAGACGACATACTACACCAAACCAATCGTGCAGTTGCCGAATCCAGTTTGCTCGGGCATGCTCTATTGGCGGATCCAGGAAGATGACTTGGTTCTGAATGCGAATTTCATGGACAACTGGAATGAGCATCATGTTCGCCTCCAGAAACTTGATTGGATCAGGGCGATGTTACTTGGAAAAGAAGGCATCGCACACACCTTCTCTTCTTTCTGACGCTTGTCTCCGCGACGCTTATTCGTGATATCTCGCAAGACATTGCGACTGGTGAGGTCGCTGTCGTCGGCGGTACGGTCAAATTGATCGCACCACACTTGTACAATCTGGACCAATCTCTGGAGCAGGATGCCTTCAATTCGCTTGTCGAGTTCTGCCACCCATTGGTCGAGGTTGGCATATCCACCCAGATTGAGCTGGTCAATCGCGGTCTGAACCTTGCCCAACAGCTCAGAGAATGCTTCTGTCGTGAATGAGCACGAAGCGAGATCCTCCACTGCTCGCAGTATATCTTTGTACAAGTCGATGACGTTGTTGGTCTTGTCCTGCAACACAGAGATCACACTAGCGAACTCGCGCACGAACTGGATGTGGCGATTGTCACGCCCGTCGACGGTCGAGTAACGAGCTGTAGAGTCGTACTGGTTGACAAAATAATCCCATTTGATGTTCATGCCTGCTGGATGTCAGCAGGAGGAGACAGACAAGGACACTGGGAGTCACCTTTGCCGATCATGCGCTGAGATTCATTTCGATACTCGGCCACCAACCATTCGATGCCCTTGTTCTCCTCGACCAGATCCAGCGTCTGGCCATACGTTCGCACAGTCTCCATGAGGCTGACTGCGTGCGGATAGACCCGCTTTGCATCTTTCGCCATGTTGGTGATCGCGTGAGGAACCTGGAAACCGAGCCAGAGCAGATTCCGGACTTCCTTGAACAGAGTGATGATCTGCGGGTCGAAGTTGACGGCAAGTTGATACAGAGCAGCCCCGCCGCGAGGCCGAATGATCTCAAATAACCGCCCATCGACACCCATATTCCGCCGGTTGATGTCGTGCAACCATGCGTCATATACCGGTCGCGTGTCCAGCTTCTTTCGAAAAGCCGAACTTTCCGATTGCAGCTTCTGGCCTTCAGCATACAGCTCCCAACCTTTGCCCAGGACGTCCTCTACTCGTTTCATATACGTCAACAGCTGACGTTCAATCTGCCGTGCCCATATGATTGCACTGGCAATGGCTGGCAGATCTCGCATCTGCGACATGTGTGAAGCTTCAGAGTCCCGGAATCGCGTCTTGAACTGTGAAGAAATCAGGAGCGTATATGATCATTGAGGGACAAATATGCCTTGTCATGCAGTCGTTTGATATCCTCCTTGACGGAGTCTATTAATTGGGTTTGATACTCTTGGATGGCTCCTCGGATCTGGAATCTGCATGAGAGACACGGCGATGCATCGTACAGGGGACGACACACCTTCGGTCGAACGAAAAGTGCATTAAATTTTGAGAAAACTCGGAACATCTCGTTGGCATTCCGAGCAGTGCCAAGGCGATCTCGTAGACGTGCAATGATCTGGTTCTCGACGCGAGCAACTCGCTCATTGTACGCATTTTCGGCAGTGACCCATATTTCCGTGCCTTCAATCGACACGTCCAGTACGTCGATGCGCTTCACGATCTCATAAGCCTCTTTCACCTCTTCTTCCATGTCCATCCCCCCAATGCCCATATCCATGATATTACCACCGATTCCGCGGGTCGGTGCTGTCATTACAGCCAATTGTTCGTGCTGTTTTCGCCAATCTCGTAGGTATCGTGTCCTCTCTTGCAACTTGGCATGTGCATTGACAAGTTTGATAGGAATGAACCGTTCCGCCCGCTTTCGCATGGCTTCTCGAGCGACATTCATGAACTCCTTGATCAGGTCATCCCATTTGCGGAAGATGGCCGTCACTTGGCCCAGGAGACGGTCGAAAGTTTCGTATGGTGTGTATGCCAGTCGCTGCGACGTCAGAATGCGAAGTAGTTGGTCGTTGAAATCGCGCGATATGGCCTCGACGAGGGGGAGAGCCCGGCGGATAGGGTACGGAGAGAGCTTGAGTTTCTTGTTGATATGACCAAAGATCAATCCAATGGATTCATCGATCTTGGCCAGGTCAGTAGCAGACAAAAGCTCGTTCAGAGGAAGATCCTTCATGAGCTGGTTGTATTTGTGCACAAGATCCATCGCATCCTTCAGACCCGTATCAGCTAGAAAACTGACTGTGGCACGAAATCGTTTCGCGTTTCGAAGACATTCCATGACCATATTGACCTCTTTGCTTTGAAGCTGAGTGTCGATACCCTCCAATTCATGTTCCAAGCTCAGCCAGAAATTGATT